TGGCAAAAAGAAGAATGTATCAGATAAGGAAATCAGAGCCCCCTGATCCCCCCACAGAAACTGCATCCCCCCACTCCCTCCCCACAGATCTCACATGCTTCCCAGTCCTCTCTGTATACCTCTGTATACCTCACCTACCCCCTCCTGACTCCCCTGGAGTCTGCTTGCCTCCCTGATCCCCCAAATCCTCACCACTAGCCCTTCCCATCCTGATTTACCTGAGATTGGGTGGCCATTTTTAACTCAATCTAACCTCCCAAAATTTGTGTACCCAGCCAGATACATGACCAGTTATATGTAAATCTTTTTAAATATCTCTCCTAGTATGTCATGCCAGGTATTTCCACAATTGTCTTTCCTCCTCATATAAAACAAACTATATTGTGTTCAATTTTGAAGGAAGGTCATTTTGTGCCCAAAAGCTTGTCTAACATCTCTTCCAAGCATAAAGTTGGTCTAATGAAAGATACCACAAAAAGTCCTTGCCTCATATTTTTTGGATCATCATGAATACAACAACACTTTAACCCAAATAGAGCAAATTCATGTATTCTTTTATGCAAGTATTCCTCTCATAGAGAATTCATTGCATCTCAAACTTATAAACTACTGAAGAGCTGGGAATCTTTGTTTCTTCACTCTGCTCCATCTCTGTTACCATCAAAGCCTTTGTATTTAATTGTATTCATTCCACTTGGTGAGCGCTAGATGCTGTAGTAAACCTTTCATTTCCTAGTAGCAGGATGATATATATCTAATCTTTATCACTTTAATGACTACAACTTGTAGACCACTCTGCATTTTACTTTTGCTGCTCCAAGCATCAGCCAGATAGAATCTGGACAAGTGATAGGAGTGTATTCCTAAAGCTGGACATGATTTTTCCATAACCTTCCACCCTCTGACACCTCAAGGAATAGGTGCCTGAACTGGAAATCAAACTTAGAAACTCAACATGCTTCATAGGTACTCTTAACTGCCTGGTTGATTCACATTTACTTTTACTGCCAACTCACTCTTTCATAAACAAACATCTCACTTCAGCCATGGGCAGCTGTTCATTTCTACCAGTAAGAATTTTAGAAAAAATATCTGAAACTCGTACTGGTAGAAAATAGTACAAGAGCTGGAGTGTATATGTGTTCCATCCCCTTACTGGAGAGTTACACTGGTGAGCTCGCCAACCAGGGAGCACTAGAGTGCTGCCACCTGGGCCACTCCCTTCCTTAGGGGAACCCATTACTTAACCACCTGCCTTCACCCCTGCCTGAGAAGACTGGCAATAGTTAGCCCCCAGCTTTTAAATTTCCTCATGTGCAGCTCAGATGAGCTGCATATAAAGCTGGATGTGCAGGAAAATGGGGCCAGAGACAGCTTCCCTAATCCCCAGGTAGGGCTCCCACTTGGGCAATACATGTGGTATTAAAGCCCAGAATTCAGTTAACTGGGGTGGGAGGGTTGACATTTAAAGGCCACAAGGCTGGGAACCAAAACAGAGGTGGATTCCCTGGCTTTGGTTCCTAGGCTCATGAGCTTGATATCCCAGCCCAGGGGACCAGGAACCAGGAAGGGGATGGCTTCAGTGGCCATGGTTCCTTGGGCTCCAGGGGAAGCTGGCTGGGGCTAGGAACTGAATTTGAGGACACCCTCCCTGAGCCAATTTCCAGTGCCACAGGCTTTGCAGTCCCCAATCCCACCATCCAGCTGAGGAAGAGGAGCAGTAAGGGGAAGCCAGCAGGTACCAGATTTGAATGTGCCACACAGGGGGCAGCTTTCCTCTACACAGCACTTTTAGAGCCAGTGCCTGCATCCCCTTGGATTGAAGCAGAGGAAGCAGTGGGGCAAGCCTCCCATGTCTTTCCCAAACCAGGGACTGCCAGGTTTGAGAAAGAGGTAAGAAGCAATGACTGCTGCTCCCCTCTCCTCCCAGACCAATCTAGAAAGGGAGCGGAGCAGTGAGGCAAAGTCCCTGGTTTGGAAAAGAGGCAAGGAGCAGCTGTTGCTGCTGCTCCCCTCCTGTCCTGGACCATTCAGACAAGAAGGAAAGCATGCAAGTCTTCATTCTTGTGAAAGAAACAAGGAACAACTTCCAGGTTGACACTTGAAAGATCTTCTCCTAAAAGGAGAATGTTTCCCCCAGGAGAAATTGAATGAACACTTGTACCCTTGTCAGTTCTACCAGGAGAACAGTGTAGAAATGTAATGCCTGTATATGGCTGTACTTTACATATTTTAACTTCCCAACTCCTTGTCCACATCAATTTACCCCAGTGAATTCTATCTAGTATTGCCCTTACATTCAATGAAATGTGTTCTTCTGAAGTAAAAAAATTCAGTTTTTTCCCTGCTCCTCCTTCAGTGAACAGTTCTTGTATTTCTTTAACACTGTCTTACTCCCAACCCCATTACAGTATATTCATGTGTATATCCATAAGCTACAGAGGTCTGAATTTTCCCAGACATATGCAAAGGAAGTATAAGTGAAACTTTAACTTTAAAACTGTTATGAGATCTGTTAGTATATTTGTCTATGGAGTGTCATCATAGTGATAACTGGGTCCAAAGGCTGAAACATGAGGCTGCACATAAAAACTATTTTGTTGAGCAACCACCAGTTATACCAGCATGTTTCCAACACCATTTTAGCATACTGGAAACAACACTTTCATTATAATTAAGAGACCAATTTCAATTCTAAACTCCTATTTTAAGGCATCTACAGCTTCCTAGAAAGTAAGCACAATGGGTTGAAACTTCTCATTATTTTCAGCCAATAAGATGCACATTTTTAATTTTGGAAAAATTTCATTCAGTTGTTGTTGTGTTATTTCACTGCGCTGGAAAGTTATGAACACTTTAAGAAATGTTTAGGTTATTGGCTTGTGATCCAACAGCTAAAATGGCGTTGATGTACATTCCAAGTCTCATAAATCATTCACAAGATGAGGTGCAGAAATGTTTTTTGCTACACATCTATGGCTCATCAGAGAGCAGTTGCATTCTGATGAATCTCCTGTGATCCATCAGATGACCTCACTGTGTCAAAATCAGTGTAGTTTGCCTAGGTCAGTGTCTCAAGTTTCCCTCATTCCTCCAACAGAGCACTGGTCAAGCCTGGATTCCAATTTGCTTTTTCATGCAGAGGCACAGAAAGGCAGCTCCACAGCAGCAGCTATTTTTGTGCCACCCTCCCCAGCCCTCCACCTCAAAGGCAACTCCTGGGGTTGCTGCCCCAATCACCTCCCCTCAGTTACATTATTGGTTTTATGTTCCCTTACACACAAAGTATCTGTAGCTATATTATAATTTAGAGATGTTACCTAATAAGAGACTGAGGAAGTTGGGAACTGAAATGGTTCCACAGTTAGGAAGCAGATAGTTAGAGACAGACAGAGGTTGTAGAGAGGTTTGTCTACTGCTCCACACAATAAAGTCTGTTGTTCTTCTTATCCATTGTATGCCTGTATTTACTACACACAGTGATCACTACAGTCCCCATGCCCTAGGACATATAGTATACCTTGGTTAGGAACAGAAATTGCACATAAACTGGTATAACTCATTGGAAACTGGTTCAGATCTGTAACACAACAGAAGTTCACTGCACAGAAACTACTTTCAAAATAACCCAAACTGGTCTAAGATAAACCTGGATGGATGTAGTATTAGACTTAACTGATTAGGTTAAATCAATATATTGAACTTCTGCTGCAGATCCCCTCCAGATGCAAGCTACCTCACAGTCCCCCAGCATCCCAGGATGCTTTGCACCTCCCCTGCAAATCCGCCCATGCTGGGTTGGCAGTCTAGCTTAGGCCCAAACTATCTGCTCCTGCCAAACAGGGAGGCATGCTCTAGCACCCCCTGGCTTCTGGACTGGGCTACCATAGGCATGTGGATGCATTTTTGGAACCAAAAGTGAATGCCTCTTCACTCGGTTATTGGTTCAACGTATGCAGCTTAGACTAACCTGTAAAGACTGGATTGTTTTAGCCTCTGGCTTTTTGACTGTCTGCATTTAGCCCTTCAGTGCCATACATAAATCCATCCTCAAGCCCATACATGCCTCATATCTACATTAAGAACTACTGAGCTTTATCCATGACTACACACCAGTCCAAACCTGATCTGAGAGCGGGGCCTGAGAGCAAGCCTATCCCCAAGCCTGAAAAATCCTGACCTGGACACTCACCTGGACACTCCAGGCCATGAGCATAGGAAATTCTCCAGCAGCAATCCCATAATTTCTGTTCCTAACATCCAGCCCTTCTTCACCCTACTTCCTATTTCTGTTGTCCATAATTACACCCATAATCATTGAAGGGTTCTAGTACAGAATAGAAGACACGAAGTGCAGCAACCACAACAAAGCCAAAGATGGGGAAGACAGCTCATTTGGCTCTGGCTTCTTCATGGCAAACTTCAAGATCAAACCAAAATATTGATAAATATTTTCCTGAGCATTTTACCTTCACCCACCTGTACAAAGATAATTTATATGCAAAGTTTGCAATAAAATATTTACTACAATCATGCTCCCAAATGTTAGACTGTTTTATACAATGTGTAGAATATAATATTTATAGAAAGAGTTTAAGTATACAGCTGATTTTTATGCAGAAGTTCTCTAAATTATATGCAATTGTTTCCAACATTTTCATAATAGCTTTTCAATATAAAACATAAAAGTACCTGCAATTTCTTCTAAGGAATTAGCTCTCATATCCAGGAGAACTGTACCATTCAAGATACAACTTCTCAATTCAAACAAGCTATGAAGCGACAGAGTGGCAACATATGGTTTACTCCATCTCTCTCCACCATCCTCCACATCTTCTTCAAATTTCAACCATCTATTTAAATCAAATAGATTAGTAAATTTTTAACATAGGAAGTGAAAATTAGTCATTTCCTTGTGTCTGAATGGCCACCATCAAATAGCATTGGGGGGGGGCGTATTTTACCTTTATTTGCAGGGAACCTGAGAACACTACCCCTCACAACCCCCCTCCCCCACCCAAGAAATATTGTCTTTTACCATTTGTCAGATACTGATTTCAACCACGGATTTTAAGAGAGAGGATTAAGCAAAAAAACGTAATATGCTTTTGTTTTGCAGCAACTTTGAATAATACCATCTCATAACAAAACATATTTCTGTGTCAGGAATATGGAAATAATGGTGAGATTGTTGTTAAGAACTGCTGAAGGGTCAGTGGGAATCACTGTAATAAATTCTAGAAAGCTGAGAGAAACTTCTTCAAATGTTAACAGTTTTAAGGCGGATAAAAGGTGGACCCAAAATCCTCAACAGCATTGCTTCAAAGTCTTTTTATAATAAGAAACAAGTAGTAAAATTGTTCTTTTCCCTCATTTTAAAGTAATATGTACTGCTCTACAGAATCCATGCTTTGTAGAAATAACTGTCCAAAATCATCATAATGTTTTTTCACATAAATTAAATTAAAATCCATAAGGAAAATGAAAAAATTTGCAATATTTAAGCTTCTATTCCTCTTCTAAAGTTCACAAAAATCTAAAATAATATTGAAAATATGAACAATTAAATAAAGCCAGATGACAAAGC